TTTAAATAAATCAATTTAAAAATTTCGCATTTTTTTTTAAATGAAATCGACTTTGAGCAAATATTTTCAAGTTTTTAAGTTCAGTTTTTAAATATTTAATCATTAGCAACAGCCATCTAATTTTTTTCGTTTTCAGTTTCCCAAAAATTGCCTCTTTTAGAAACGTTTTTTAAATTTTTCTAAACGATTAAAGTGTGCAATTCCCTCAAATTCAGAATATGCTACACAAAATGGCATTTGTAAAATCTGATTCTCAGAATTTCAAATTTTTAATCATTAGTAACAGTCATCTCATGCTTTCTCATTTTTAATTTCACAAAAATTGTCTCTTTCCGAAAAGTTTTTTGTACATTTTTTTAAACGATTAAAATCAATCTCAAATATACTACTTTTTATTTTGTAAATTAAGCCTTTTACTCAAAAAAATATTTTTTGTAAAATATGATTCTTAGTTTTTAAATCTCAAATTTTAAATCAATAGTAAACAGCTATTTTATTTTCTTCATTTTTAGATTTCCAAAAATTTATCTCTTTTAGAAGTGTTTTAATCCATCTTAAATATGCTTCTTTTTATTTTGTAAATTAAACATTTTAGTCAAAAAGTGGCATTTGTTAAATCTGATTCTCAATTTTTGATTTTCAAATTTGTAATCATTTAGTAATAGTCATTTCATGTTTTCTCATTTTTAATTTCACAAAAATTGTCTCTTTCCGAAAAGTTTTTTTTGTTACATTTTTTTAAACGATTAAAACCAATTTCAAATATGCTACTTTTCATTTTGTAAATTAAGCCTTTTACTCAAAAAATGTTTTTTGTAAAATCTGATTGTCAGTTTTCGAATTGCAAATATTAAATCAATAGTAAAGTGAAATTTAATTTTTTTCATTTCCAGTTTTTCAAAAATTTTATCTCTTTCAGAAGCGTTTTAATCAATCTTAAATATGTTACTTTCTATTTTGTAAAAAAACCTTTTAGTCAAAAAATGGCTATTGTAAAATTTGATTTTCAGTTTTGAAATTTCTGTCTTTTTTAAGAAGACAATCCGGAAACTTCCTCGATTTTGCAACCCAACCCTTGTACTTCCGACAACCACAAAATCACCATTTCTGAGTTAACAACAGTGTCAAATTCCCCACAATTAAACAAAGTTCTTCTCCCGGAAGCTGCCACTCCTGTGGTGAAAAAACCGGGATTGGTGTACCAATTCATCGAAGAAAAACAACGCATTTCGCTATCGAAAGAAAGACGTGCTGCGCGAACTCTTGGTATAATAATGGGAGTGTTTGTGGTGTGTTGGTTGCCCTTTTTCCTCATGTATGTAACAATCCCGTTTTGTCCCACTTGTTGTCCTTCCAAAAGACTCAAGAACTTCATCACTTGGCTAGGTTACATCAATTCAGTGCTCAATCCCATCATTTATACGATTTTTAATCTGGACTTTCGGCGCGCTTTTAGAAAGCTTCTGGGGATGAAACCGTGAGTTTTGGATACATCCGTCGACAACTAATTGATAATTCCCGCGTTTTTTCAAAGACTGATTTCTAGAGTCGCATTG